ACCCCTGGTGTAGGAGTTCATGTTTAATAGCAAGATATGCAATTGCCTCTGTTTGACATTAGTCTGATGTCTGGCAGTTTTTTCAGAGACGTGCCTCTGAAGAGTGTCTATTTCCTCACCTTGAGGGAGCCCTCGATCAGCACTCGGTGCATTGCTGCCACACACTCCAGCTGCTGCCTTGTGTCTTTACAGACTTTATCACCGACATCAGAGCTTGTAATGCTAAAGCTGTCACTGGCATTTCTTTGACTTTCATCGCCGCATTCACCGCTCTTAGAAATGTTGTTATTATTACTGCTGGTGCTGCTTGTATGTCTTTTGGTGGTAAAAGAGGAAGCAGTGTAGAGAAGGAGGACACGGCGGCTGGCTTGTATGTTTTCTTCAACAGAGTCCACCATAGCTGCAGGAGGGAACAAATAATGAAAACACACGGTTAGAAAATAGGAGCTAAATAAGTGAACTTAAACGTAGCTATATGCAGCTCTAACAGTTATATTTAGAATTTTATTCCTTTTTAAACTGAAAAGAAGTCAATGCAACCATCGCAGCAGACAGCCGCCTTTCTTCACAAGCTAATGCAATGCTACTTTTTAACTGCATGAACAAAAAATAAATAATTTGGCTTTGCCACATATTTTCTACTTAGGAAGTCACAGCAACTGGCAAAATATTTGAAAATGAAACAAGCTGATGTGTACAACACTGGGGAATTCGTCTGTGTTTGTGCATTTCTAGCTAGCAGTTATTGTTGACCGCCCTGAAAAGGCAAGACAAGATCACCACAAAACAACTTATATAGACCCTTTCTCATATATACTCTATCTCATGCAGTTTCATAAAGGAAGAAAGTGAAGACAAAAAGAGGCTAGCTTTGACCACCTACAGCCCATGGTATTTACTTAAAAATACACCATGACCAGCTAAACGAAATGCAAACAGAAGCTTTTTGGATAGTCTTTCAAGATTTTAAGCTTGCTACGTGTAAAACAGCCTAATAATATTTAAGATCTTGAAGTGATCTGCCAATAATGGATGGGATTTTAAAAAAAAAATCGCAAATTAATTTAAAGAAAAGCATGAAATTGTTGTTATTATTATTTTTTATAATACTAAATGCCAGTCCTTCTTCAAACAGTGCAAGTTAGGCTCTGTGGTTTAAAAAATGGCTCTGGGCCACATGTCTCCGTACTGTTTGCTGTGGGTAAATTACCTTGCCCAGGCAGGCAGTCACGGCCTGCTATGAAGAGTTTGTAGTCGCAGGCCCTTTCCAACACATGAGGCAGTGTTTGAAGGGCAAATGTTTCCACATCCTTGCTGAATCCGAGGTCACAGGGCTGTGGGTATGCCACATAGGCATCGTAAAGCTTCCCATCCAAGTCTAACACAAGAAAAGGAAAAGTTTATGACATGCATAGTTTTGACTAAAACCCTCAAAATTTGATCTTTCAATTAAATAT